TCTCTGCCCAGCTTATAGATATGATTGCTGTGACCCGGATGTAGGACCTTGGACTTTCCTTTGTTGAACTTCATGAGGTTGGCATCAGCGCACCTTTCAAGCCTGTCAAGGTCCCCCTGGATGGCATCCCTTCCATCCAGTTTATTGACTTCACCACATAGCTTGGTGCCGTCAGTGAACTTGCTGAGGGTGCACTCAATCCCATTGTCCATGTCACCAACAAAGATGTTGAACAGTATCAGTCCTGGCACTGACCCCTGAGGGACACCACTTGTCTCTGGTCTCCACATCAACAATGAGCTATTGACCACAAATCATTGTGTGTGAGTTCTTTATCCACTGAGTGGTCCCTCCATCAAATCCATCTCTCTTCAGTTTAGAGACAAGGATGTCGTGTGGGATGGTGTCAAACCTTTGCCTAAGTCCAGGTAGGTAGATGATGTCAGCCCCTATCCAGCAATGTCGTAACCACGTCATAAAAGGTTCCAAAATTTGTCAGGCATAATTTCCCCTTTGTAAAGCCATGTTGGCTGTTACCAATCACCTCTTTGTTTTCCATGTGCCTTAGCATAGCTTCCAGGAGAATCTGCTCCATGATTTTGCCAGGCACAGAGCTGAGACTGATCAGTGTATAGTTCCCTGGGTCTTTCATTTTCCCCCTTTTAAAAATGGGCATTACCCTTTCTTCAGTACTTGGGGACTCCACCTGACTGACTCAATTTTTCGAAAATGACGGAGTGGCCTCACAACTTCAGCCACCAGCTCCCTCAGGACCTGCGGACAGATCTCATCAGGCCAGAGGTACACTAAGTTGTTGTATCTCTCCCCAGGGCTGGCCATAACAAGCCTATTGGGACCTTTTCTCTCTATTTGAAGCCTTTGCAGAACACTGCAGAGGCTCTAGCGCTGGAGGACTGGAATCAAGTACCCTCTAGTGGCGGTTCACCGCTGGGCGTTGTTCAAGTCCATTCCTGTGACAGCACTGACCCCTAGTGACTGCAGAGATACTTAAATAATTGACAGACTCCTTTTTATTTTTAATGAATTTATATATTAACATAAAGTACTGCTGTACAAGGGAGCTTTATCAGAAAATGTCTTCATTAGGAGGAAACTGTCAAAATCCTTCTTTTTTAGACAATGTCTACAATTCCCAGGGAAATTTCATTCTTGTTTTATTTTATAACAATCAACATTTTTCTAATTCTGGAGTTAACTTGAGATGGACTTTGTTACTTTAATTAATAAATACCCTATTTGAAATATCAGTGCTGCTGAGATGCTGGGAGTTAATGGTTTCAATTTAGCCATATAAGTTTGTCCGGGAATGCAGGTTCTCAGACAAGCAGCTTTGCAAACTTTTGCTAAAATACATACAGTATCACTGTTATTCTATTTACTAAGTAATATGATTCACCTAGACTAGATGTCTGATCAGATTTTAGAAGTACCATCTGAAGAAACATTAGCGTATTTTAACATGTGTAGGGTGAGAGCAACAAATCGTTTCCCCCAGACCTTTCAATTCAGCAGCAGATTATGGCCATGAATATGTAATCTCACGGCAAATTCAACTCTCCTTCAGTAGCCCTCTGCCTCTGGTCTTTGGCTCATTATCTCAGGACTTATTTTCAAGTACTGTAAGTTTAAATCAGTGGGGGGGATCTGTCATGCAGTGATAGTGTGAAAATACAGAAGAGCAATCTTTAGGACCTCACTGCAAGAAACGCTGAATATGCTAAATTTCCTTTGGCTCCTCTTTGAGGCCCTAATGACAGAGACAACCAGGAAACAGAGGATTAAAAATATAATAGGGAAAGTGTTTGTGATCAGGAAAACATACATGTATTTTTATTCTTTTAGAGGATCTTAGTGCCTTTGAAGATGTGAAAGGGAAACCTTAAGTAAGGATTTGATCACACAATGCACTTGATTATTTCTGTTCCTCTGATTTCTATCAAAAGCAGTTAACACCTCACAGGAACTGTTAATATCTTGTAGAGCCGCATATTTAATGTACAATAATGAGGTATTTCTTAGTATCTGTGACTTCCTAGATTTAGCAAATAATGACTGAGAACGGTATATGTAATTTCTCTACAGGAAGCTCCTGAGGCTGTGGTTCCACAACAACCCAGGATCAGCCAAGTATTGCCCTCTTGGCCACATCTTTTTCCTCTGGCATTTCTTTGTCTTTTGCTTGAGCTGGGCCTCAGACTTAGCCCAATAATCTGCTGGGATATTGGCATGCTAAGATGTTAGAAAATTACTTTTGACTTTGGCTTGTTGGGCCGGCTTTTCAGGACGAGGAGGTGGGTTAAATTGAACCAGTAGGTGCCTTGTTCTTTATGATCCCAGTCAGAAAGGTGCTTAGATTCTAGAAAGCCTCTCTTAAGAGCCTGTCTTTTTGAGACCACACTAAAAAGAAAAGGAAGCTAGTACTGATAATCATATGACCCTTCAGATGCTGGGAGCCCCAAGTTGTGCAGCATAGAATGGGTCTCCAACCACAGCCCAGGAAACCCTGCAGACCACATCCATGGAAAAGTTATCCCATTTGAGTCATTGAAACTCTGACAGGATTTTCCTGAAGAAGCCAACTATACTCCTCATCTCCCCCGTCAACAGAAAGAATGTTCACTTGAGAACTTCTTGCTGCACTGCTTAACAAAGGTGAGGCCAGGCAGGGGGTGTAATCATCTGTACCAAGCAGGAGCTGCCTGCAGGTTCCCCTATTCCAAGGAGCTGGCTGATCTTCTCCTGTGGTAAAGGGTGTGTGGCACAAGCCAGCAGGCTGCACATGCAGCACAACACAGCACAGACTGCACTTATACATCCATACAGTAACAATGCTAACCAGTTGCACAAATTGCTTTTTAACCGAAAGCAAGAATCAGACCAGAATAATAACATTTACCCATGACCAATTTATGGTCCTATCATATTTAATACTATAAATTATGGAGACATTGGAGAAATAGTAAATGCAGAATTAATATTTCTTTTACATGGAAAAAAATGAGATTAAAAGCCTTTTTCAAGATGTGAAAAAATAACTGGACAAAAGCCCTCTGAAATGAGATTTTAAATTGCCTCAGGCAGACAATAAGTGAAATGTTGCTGCAAGGCATCATGTGCTACAATTTAAAACTCCAATGTCTAATTGGGGGGGGGACATTTTCAACACATCTAGTTTTTGATATTAAAAGTATGTTTCTTGTTTGTTTTGTACATTTGCACTTAGTTAAACTAGATACTCTATGTTTTTCTATTCTTCTCTGTAAAGAAAAGTGGTGCCTAAGTGCATTTTTATAATCACTACAGTATTTTTAAGTTAAATTTTTCAAAACTAAATTTCAAAATAGAATAAAAATTATACCATTATTGAGATATTCTCAATAAAGTAGGACAGAGAAATGCATGACTATATTTCTCATAGAACAGTAGAATCTTTTCAGCTAAAAGTAGCCTGGAAGGTGTCTGATCCATCCTCATGCTCTGAACAGTCAAAATGAAGAAAAGGCTCCAAGGTGGCAAAATCTTTCATACTCACAGTTACAGGTGCCACTGAGATAACTACTGGATCCTAATGTTACAGAAAGAAGCTTGAAGGGCTCTCCTCAAAAACTGATTATGTTCTAAGAATGACTAAAGGCCAGGTAAAAGCAAAAAAAAGGAAAAACATATGAGACACATATATGAGGTCACGTGCATGTAACACTTCAGTATGAAGTTTGCTCCTCCAGAAAGCAATATCGAAGTATCCTTCTTATCAGCCTTCCTCTTAGTCTTTACCCAACTCTTCATATTTTAGTTTAAAATGTATGCAAATGAATATTTCAGTTAATTCTGAAAATTTTGTTGTGAAGTTCATTTTGTTCATAACACAGTTCTGCTGCTCTGCTAAAATAGCAAAATCTCAAGATTGAACTCAGAGTGAGCCTTCAAACATCTGGCAAACAGCTAAACCAGCGACATTCTAGAATCCTTTACTTTTGTTGTTTGCATTAAAAGCCCTCTGAAAGTGCTAAGTAAAACTATTGGTATTTATTCATATTGGTAATTATGTCTTAAAACATCTGTCAAATAAAACAAGGGAAGACTCTGCTTAGGGATGTTTTTTCCTGTCTATGGACATCTATTACGATCAGTCTTGTGGTGTACAGCCACAGTCTGCAAATAAAACTTCAATTGCGAAATTTTCAGAATAGATTAAACTTAGTGAATATATTAAAGATGTGATCATACAGAGTGTACTTTTAAAAGCTTTTAATCTGTTTTTAAACATTACAGTGTACTTCCTACATCTTCCTTTTGGAATTTGCAATTCCATCATCTTTGGCTGATAATTTCCATATTTCCCTTTAGATTTTTCTTGTTGCCTTTTCTGTTCACTTCTATGTCGTTTTGGCTCTGCTGTCAAAACAGATATACAGAACATTTTGTGCATAATTTATTAGAGTAAAATTACATGCTCTTTCAGAACGATTTTAAGAAGCAAACTTTCAACATAAAACACAAGAGAAAGGTTCTAATCTCTGCTGTAAAATGTATTAACGGTCCTTAGGACATCTTGCAAATGCTTTCTAGCCTGAGTCCTTTTATGAATTCAGACCTCAACAGATATCATTACCATTGCTGATGCTTTGCAAACAATCCAGCAGAGAAACAAACAGATCACACTCATATATTGTGCTTGTCCAGTGCTAGAATCCAAAACCTGCATTTTGTAGCACCTCGCTTTAAAGGCAGATACACATTTTCCTTTCATATCAGTAATATTGTAAAAAGATAAGAAATCGTATGTTAGTTATACAGTCAAAAGCACATGTTTGCAAACAAACAAAACTATTAAGTGCTACTCAGCATTGATAAGAATCCTGCAGGTTTTGACTGGGGAAGTTTACAAGCACTTTTACATTTTCTAGGTGAGGAGAGACATGTCACTTCTCCTAGAAAGACTGAATTGTAACAATTTCTGTCAGTTACCAAAGTGGGGTTTAAAACTTAGATGATGATTTTGCTTCTGGATTTCTTCTCCTCCAAGTTTGTGCATTAAAAGATTCTGAAGTATATTTGCCTGTAGGAAAAACATACATTGTTTATTAATTGCAGCCACAATTTCAGGAAAGACTCTTTTAGTCTGATGTGTGAATTAAATATTACATTAGCTGAAGTATCAATGAATGCATGAGGTCAAATAGACATCACCTCTGAAACACAAGCTAGTATTAAATACAGATTCCCTCTCTAGTACTTTAAAGATCATTTGTAATCTTACAGCATTTCCATGAGGCTCACAGGTGATTCTGCCATGGACATCCTTGGTTTTAACACAGGGAATATTCCTGTGCTGAAGATCTTCCCAAATGCATCAGTTGCTTCTAGATTAAACTCATGCATAATCCAATCTCCTGTTTTATCCCTTCTTGTGAAAGCACTATATGAATGGCTATATTATGTTTTTGCCCGAGACAGCTGATTGTGCCTCAGAGTATGTTGCCTAATCACTAACCATTTTCTACAAATCTTGAATAAAAATTAATATTCTTAATACTCTTCTGTTAGTTCCATCTCAGTCTGATTAATTAAAATTATTAATTTCATACTAATCTTAAAATTTTCAGTTTATACACAATGTGTAAATATTACCATAGTTTTCTTTTTGTGTCCAAAATTTCTTACTGGTGTCAGACTGATTCTTTTGTTTGAGGCATTTCTGACCATATGGCTCAGGTACTGCTGGAAAGAAAGGCAGCAAGAAATGTTAATGATTACTTTTTTGACAAAAATGCTGATTACCTTTTATTTTCTGCAATGCTCTATCCTTTTTTAACCTGGAAATGTGATAAAATGCATTCTTCACAATGAAGTATGTTATCTGTATGATCTCTGTACCAGTCTGTTCACATTTAATGAAAGCAAACATTCAAAGACAAAAAGAAAAAAGACACAAGTATTTGTCCTCCAGATAAAGCAGCTATGTTGAAATTCATTTCATTTAACCTTATTCACCTTAAAGTGGCATTACTCTGTCTGAAGGAGGTTCGTCTTATTAGAACTTAAGACAGGGAGGCACCTCAAGATGGAAATTGAACCTGGCCTAAGAGAGATGACTGAAACTGGCAAGATGAAATCACTTTCTTAACTCAAGATTATTTAAATTATTGCTAGATTTGTTGACAAAGTGACAGATGACAACATAAAATTATCCAGAGAAACCACGGACACAGAAAGTGGAAAGGCAAATAAAGCCCAGCTGATGTACTAGATTGCCTGAAGCTATATTAGCAAGAAAAAAAATAAAGTGGAAGATGCAAAATTACGGTAACATCTGAAACAGATTGCCAGAAAGAAAGAAGGAAGACTCAGAATCCCACCTGTAGGTTTCTTGTCAAATACCATCAAGAGGACAGTACAGCATTTCAAAGACAGAAAAAAAGATGAAGGAAAAGATCATCCTGTATGAATGGCAGGAAGAATGAATCCAGTTCTCTGTCTAACATAACTAATATGAAAAAATAATACTAACATAAATCACAAAAATTTACACTGCATTTAAATTGATAATAGAAGTTTGAATAAGACCCAAACCCTTGTTGATTCAAGATGAAAAATAATCCTAAATAATTAAAAGGTATAGAAATCCACAACAATGAAAACTCGAGTGAAATATTAGCTGTGGAAATACACCATGCAAAGCAAGGCCATTCTTTCATACCCTTTTGAGGAAAAAACAAGCACTGAATAAGAAACATTTCTTGAGATGAAATTCTACTGCAAAATTACATCTTCTGCTATCAGTAGTTAGAATAAAATATGACTTTTTTTATAAAGGTGGAGTCTTATAAGGTTTATTAAAAATTTGAAAAGAATAAATCATGTAAAAGATGCTGTAAAAAGTGGGCATCACTACATTTGTGCACATCAGCACATCACTGCATTCCTGAATTCCTGATGTGAAGGTGGCTCAATTATTGTTCATGAACATTATGTGTGACAAACTGTAAAGCTTTATAAATCCTTACATTTCTGTCTATGGATATCACTGAACCCTCCTTGTGAAAATTGTGCTGGATCAAATTTATTCATGCCTGTATTTAGGTATAAATAACTTAGTATTTACCTGCAGGGACACAATTTCATGCAGCACAATATGGACATGCATATTTGAGGCATTTTAAGAATTGTGTGTAAGCAGGAACCCACCTGTAGATCCACTGAAGTCTGGTTTATGAGTGACAGAACGGTAGGCTATATATGTTGATGGTTGAGCTTCTGTAGCCTTTAATGAGCATATCTCCCAGTTTCTCTCCCATAAGGAATGGAAGAAGCAGTTTTGTCATCCTTATTTTGACCCCTTTGTAACTTGGTTTTACCCCTTTGGTAACTTGGTTTTACTTTGGGGTCCAAAGTGTGATTTCTTAAAAGTGAAAATACAAACAAAAAGGTTGTGCTATTACTCAAAATCTGACACATTGTAGGAGACTGGAGGCTGGGCAACAAGATTTAAAACATGTTCTTGGTGGATAGTCCAATCCAAATATGGATTGTTCACATTTGACACTAAGAACAGAAATTAACTAGGTAGTGCTAAATAATCTCACGGTTTAGTAAATAAAAATTGATATGCTCATGGTTTTCTCAAAATACCTTTGTCAGTTCCTGTATTAGGTAAATTTCTTGGTTCCTTAGAAATCCATTTATTTTTCTTTACTTCTTTACAGTGACGGTTCTTTACCAGCTCAGTGTGGTTTGTCTCTGAGGGATTAAAATAACATATTTTTACATTTTTAGAAAGCACACAAAATGTTTATATCCAAAAATGCTGTGGTGTTTTGAAAACATAATCTCCCACTTCATACATGGGATGTTTTGGGTGGAACATGGTTACACATGTTAATTATTCTAAAAGTTTTAGAATTATTCTAAAAGTATCATTCCCCAAAAGGAAAGCAAAAGTGGGTATATTTCCTCTAGCAGAGGAAATCTTGAAAGCCAACTGAAAAACTGACTATGAATGCAAAGACCAGATCATCCCTTCTCAACACTGCATATGTGGTGTGTGGATCTCTGGAACACCCATGGCTGAGCTCATGGAGACCAATTCACTCTGAAGGACACCAGGGTAAACTCTGAATGACTTCTGTCTGTAGCAAGTAGATACATCCTGGACATGGGCAGTAAATGAACATAACAAAATACTACAAATGATGAGGATAAAACTGCCATAGTAGTGGTTGCATAGGTAAGCCCACTTCAAACTACTATCAGAACTTCACAAGGAAAGTCGCAGCGTAAAGTAATCACAGCACTCTTCTCCTGGCCCCTGCTACTCATCAAGAAGACACGGCTTTGTTCTTCCTTTTCTCCTGCTAATGCTCTGTATCTTTAATTTCAGGCCTGAATGAGGCAGAAATTCTCAACTTCTGCTGCAGTTTATGGGGTAAAGACAAAATCTGTCCTTTTTTCTTTTTTTTTTTTAACACTAAAACTGCAAAGAAATAACCAGGTAAAAATCTACCTCAAATATTCAGATTAATACATTTTCTGCATTGACAAATATATTCTGGAATTCTCTTGCAAAAAGGATGAAGCTTATCATCAAGGTACTTCGGTGTAGGTACTTTGATTTGCTGTATGCGACTAGTTTCTTATGAGCATTCTTTATCACAATTCTTTACGCTCTTTCCTTAACTATATTTTTACTGGTTCTATTAGGTTCCATGTTCTGTGAGATCCCACCTACATTCAAATACATTTAACTTGATGGAAGTGGTAAGTGCACAGCACTCCATGTGATCTAGCATGTGAGCGTCAAAGATTTTAGTAACTCAGGGACTGATCCTGCCCATGTTGACTCTAACAGAGGATGCAAGCCAGCTAGAAGAAGCAGAACTGATCCATAACATGCAATGGCTGCTGTCATCTTACAGTGAAAGAAATCAGACTGTTAATGAGAAAATTCACTTCAGATTGGTTTTATGTAAAGTGTATAACGTCCAACACACTTGCAGTGGAACAAAAATAATCTAATCAACAAATTAGGAAATATATAATAATGAAGTACCTTTCACATTGGAATATTTTGATCTAATTGGTTCTTTTTCCCAAGGTGATGCTTCACATCTGTTCTCAACCAATGTGTTCCTCTGTCTCACAGTACAACCACCTCCTACAGGAAAGGAGTTTCACAAAGTTATCTCTACTCAAAACCACCCAGAGGAAGGTGAATAATGCAAAGACTTTGCTTTTTATGACATGTTCTTAGACACAATGGATAAAAAAGTACAAAGAATACAAAGAAACCAAATATCTGATTCAATAAGGCCCACAAAATATAGATAGGTCTGCTAAAAAACTTTAAATACATCCGTGGTAAATGTTTATACTGACATAAAGCATGTTTAAAAGAAAGATAAATTTGTACATAAAGGTCAAACAAGTATCATGTAAGATAAATTTTTACTGTGCAATACAGTTCTGGAGCTAGAAGACCCATAGCAGTTTGCACCAAGCTAGAGCAAACAGCCCTAGCATGGTTCTGTATTATTTTGCATTGACAAACTAAGAGAAAAAAAAAGAATAATAAAACAATTATTACTATTTTTATCACTAATCAATATTTATGAAGAAAAAGGATTGGATACCATTAAATACTAAGTAAATTCCAGAAGAATGGGGCATTCTTCAGCTTTAATGACATGATTCAATACTGTACTCAGTGGGTCAAAACACTGTATCTTCATTAAGACCAACCAAGATTATGCAGAGGACTAGGCTACTGTTACACTAGATGCAGGATTACAACTTTGTTATTTCTCTGAAGGGTAACTGAAAAATACAAAGCTTATTCATCTTAAGTAGGGATAGTCTCACAAAGGTAATAATTTTTGAAAGCATTTTAACTTGCATGCATCTCTACCTTTGCCTTTTTATAACTTCACAGAATTCTTTCTTTCCCGAAATTAAGTAGGAAAAAAACCAATTGTTATCGCTAAAAAGGAATTTTTTTCAGTATAATCCCAAAATAAGCATACATTAACAGTGGTTTTGATTCTTATAATTAATAGTGTAGCACGAGACTGTCTAGAACACAAAGAACAAACAACAACTCAAACATATAATGGTAAAGTTTAATGCATGCATATTTAGCTATTTTAATTGCCACATGATGTTCAGTAACGACAAGCTGCTACAGTATATTGCAGTATATTACCTCCATTGACAAAGGATGTACGATCCGTTCTGGGAGTACTCTCTATCACTACTGTCCTTTCTGAACTCTCTTTTTCTTTTCTGGTATTACTAAATTTTGTAGGAATTGTGTTACTAGTACCTGGACAGGCAACAGAAAGAATGTTTTAGCTGCATGTGTGTAAGTACAGGGAATAGCACTGACATTCTCTTCCACCCACCTCTACAAGACAGTGAATAGTTTAGTGCAATTTCTCTTAACCTCTCATTTCGTAATCTTTCTCTTTGATTTGTTATTTGGATCCTGTGTAACTGATGTACAACTTTCATGCTATGTAAGAAAATACCATAATATACAGGCTAAAGAAGACTATGGCTGCAAAGTAAAGATCCAGCTATAAATTACCTGCTTATTCATTAGCTTCTCACTTTTCATGAATTATATTTATGAATCCTATCTGATTACATTTATGGCATTTTCAAGATCTAAGTCATCATAGTACCTGAAGCCTCAGAGGGCTCAACTGAAAAAGTGCTTTGGGGAAACATCTTATTTTCTCTGAATGCATCTAAAGATAGATAAAGATATTTAAAAGGATAAGCTCAAGGTTTTAACACCTCTGTGTTACCCAAATTAACTTCTGAATTAAAATATAGTATTGCAAATGAGTTGGGAGAGGTAAAACTTACTTTTGACTCAAATATAAAAACTGACCGTGAACTGTTGACTAATCCAATTCTGCACTCAGGTGTGTGCAAACTGAACTATTAATAACTTGTATTATTCCAAGATAAACACAGACAAATAAATATTATGTAACTGCCTCACAGTTTATTTTCTGTGTCAATGCTGAGGATACTAAACACTAGTCTAAGCAACAGAAACGTTGCCTGGACTATCCACTTCAATGTCAAACTCTTCAGAAAGCTGCTTTAATCTCCCTTCTAAGACTATTTTTTTTACTTCTTCATTGCAGTTATATTTCAGATCCTCAAGTTCTTCAAAAAAGGAAGGGCCATAGTTTTCTAGTTCTCAGCTTTTTAACCTCTTCCTATTAAAAAGAATGAAAGAGTACCACGTTTATCTAGAACTTTCATAATACCAAACAACAGCTTTTCTGGCCTTTTTCTTAGAGGTTAAATGATGAGAGAATAAGGATGTTCTCTAGAGAAGTTAATAGTCCATTTCTACTTTATCCATCTACAATGGATGCAGGTAGTCACCACGTGTGCATATATATATATGTACATGGCAAAAATTGAACAAAGTGTTATTGTGATATGCTTACAAATACAAATATGTTCTTTCTGATATTTTATTTTTGCTAAATTTTTAAAGTGGGGAGGAGGTGCAAACTACGCATTAGTTTCTCCCTGTTACAGTAATTTTTAAAATAGTAAACACAATCTAAGGATACTAAAAGTACTTGCCATTCTGAAAGTTTTGTTCAGTAGCTTCCAAGGGTAGTAGCTCAGCTTGCCAAGGTGATTTCACAGTATGTGTTGATTGGTGTTCGTTAGGGCTCTGAATCCCATAATACTGTCCTAAACATGCCCGAAGGGGGGAAAAAAAAAAAAAGCTTCAAAGTTTACTGCATTGGCAGCACTGCAGTTTAGGAATGAGTGACCAATTTCATATTTACCAGATATATAGCAGATCTCCTTTATTGCTCTTGCCTCTTCAATATCAGCAGCAGTCTTAGGCACCCAGGTAGAAACATCTGTAGGAGATATTTGTAAGAGATTACAGGATATGTATGCGAAGATCTGCAATAATTCTTAATAATCAAATACCATAATGCCTTTCATTTTGGTCATGGATAATTTTTGTTTCTGACTGCAATCTCTGCTTCTAGACAGAAAAATTATTGCTTCTGGACAGAAAAATGATTCCCTAATATTAAGTATCTTCATGTGCAATGGAATTGCAGTTAAAACACATATTAAGAAGCAAATGTTTGCTGGTTTAAAATGATTAACAAACACCTCCAGTATTTATTTTCAAAATAATACTTCTTTTACACCCACAAGGAAATCTGATTCAATATGTCACCAAGGAGTGCTTGTCACAAAACCTCTGCCCAAACTTACTATCCTGTAATGTCTGCTGGCAGAGCAGGTGAAGTGAGTGTTCCTTAACTGTTACAGCTAAGGCCGTGAAGGTTAGCAAAGCCATCCTTTTTATATTGTTTAAGTTAATGCTGCATACTCAGACTGAAACCAAGTTAGAAAGAACTACAAGACTGCCCTACCAGCCAGCCTGAGGGGCAGGGAGAAAGTGAAGAGTGGCTTGGGGCAGGACAGTAATTTGCTGCCTGCATGCCTGACAGTGTAGGTCATTCTCTCGTTTTTCACTCTCTGGGAATGTGTACTTTGTTCCTTCCCTATGGAATCTCTTATCTCTAAATGAAATACAGTCAATGGCTGAACTATATTTATATATATATATATTCACATATATGTGAAAATATGTTGAGGAATACATTCAGTGCAGGTAGCTCGGTGTGCAGCTGGAGTGCAAGCTGCAGATTGAACTCTGGGAGGCAGAAGCCCCAGGCAAGAGGCCATGAACTGTGACCCTTTGAATAAGAATGTGGTCCAGCCAGGTGACCAGACACTCAGACACAGCAGGAGCTGACTGCCCTCATACTTTCCCCGCACTTAGACTAAGAGGGTATAAAAGCCCAGGGGTTCCTTTGGTCTGGGTCTCCCCTCAGAGGCACTCAGCTCAAGCTGTTATTGTGCTATTTTGTTAGACAGTTATGGCACCATGATTAAATTATTTTAAGGATCTGAACATCTTAGACTCTGCTAAGGGAACCCTAGGGTCGAGCCAGTAAGAAAACCATGTCTGACTGTGTAAGTGTAGGGTGAGCAGCTGTGAAGGGGCTTCGGTCCCAGTTCAGGTGGTGTCAGAGTGACTGCCAGAGTGGCTCCTGGATGGTCAGACACACAAGTTTCCTTACCACATAATTATAAAAATATACACATAAACATTTGGTTAAACTAGTGAGGAGATTTTTATGGATTCTGTTGGCTACATTAAGAATGACTTTCTCTAAAATAATTAGACTGTCTACAGAGTTTGGTAAATCAGTTGAAGAAATTATTTATGCTGAAGTCACACAGGCTATCTTTTGTAAAAAACCTGCAACTTCAACTTCAGTGATGACTGTGCAAAGCCCTTGTTCAAGAATTTGTTTCCCAGAATAGGAAAAGTACGTCCTAAACTTGTGATTTCATCACAAAATTTTGAAGAGTATTTGATGACCATCTGAATTGTGGCTAACGTTAAAACTTTTTTAAATGAAAAAGAGGTATGCAAATTATACCACTGTTGAAATATACAGCTAGACAATTCACAGACGTTAGAAAATATTGCCTTGCTCACATATGGTGACTACCAGTTCCAACATTTTAAAGGTTAGCTGAAAACTATTTCAAAAACCTGTCAACAACTTTTTTTCTAAAAATGTAATGGTCATTATAATAAATCAGTTGTGATGTGCACTGCATGACTTGACAAAACCCATTAAATTTCCTTGTAAAAGAAAGAAAGAAAACTGTTTACAGTCCATTTCTTCATCCTCTTCATCATCCTCTTCATCATCCACTTGAACAATGATGTTACTAATCCGTGGAAGGCAAATTAGTAATGGAATATTCTCTTGATTTCTGAGTGAGTCTTGATAATGGGCTGGATGCAGAATCCCTCCTACGACGTCCCGTTGCAGTGGAACAGCTGCAGACAAGAACATTAGGTTTAGTTTGTTAGGAGGGAACTAGAATATCACATCCAGGTTCACACCAGTAGGTATACTTTTGAAATCGTTGTCGGGGTTAGGCATTATCTTGTGCAGAGATTGGCAAAAGAGCACCTTCCAGCTCCAGAAAGTATGAAAAATTACAGGTATTAGCTTCTCTGAATGGGCAGATGAGGCACTGCTGAATACAGACTTTTGAAAACATTTTCATCACTCTGTCCTATTTTTAAAAAGGCTGGTTATCTCTTTCAGCTGCTGGACAGACTAATATTTCAGTCAACAACCTTCTTTCTTCCAATCCCTTTTAAGATATTTACAACCTAGGGAGACATGTCATTAGTCATACCTGGGCTGAAATGAATGAGTGAGTTTAGGATCCCACCTGGGAAAAAACTTTAAGCATGCTGAATTAACAGGCAGGCTGCATTTCTCTCCATGGCATCATTTTAGAAGAACTTTGCAATTCTAAGCACAGGTTTGCCAATTTTAAACTTTTTTTTTTCTATTAAACCTAATCACAACTAAGTACAAAATGTAGATTTTGAGAAGGAATGTGAAGTTCATGAAAATAATGTACACTGAATTAGAAGAAAGTCAGTTTTAGTTCCCTGTCCTGGACTTTTACCCTGTTCTGGGTTCTAGCTGTGTCTACCAGGACTTCTGGTAGTCAACAGCTGCTTTTACAAAGGGCTGAGGGAAAAAAACCCAACTTGTAACGGTGTTTTTTTCCACAAAAATGTGTGCTGCTATACACACTATTACTGTACTTCAGTAACATGTAACCAATGTTCAACCCTGAAAATGTTATTCAAAATTATGAACTGGAAATATGACTGCACACACAGCACTGTAATATCATGTTATCATGTTACGCAGAGCAAGGGGTGTCTCATATAGACAACATGTTGTGCTGTATCAACAGATATTGCTACTAGTGGCTCTACCAACCTCCTCACAAATAATGATTTGTTACGAAATTTTGAAGGAATTAAAATTGATGGCATGAATTATCTTGTTTCAGTAATTCTGCATCCCCTGAAAGGTCAAACAGTTGAAGTGTGCAAAGCCCACTGGGATCACCAAAAATTCAAGTCATCTGAGCTTTTCCTGTTCTTGCCCAAATTAGGTGGTGGTGTCTAGTTCCTGTGAGTGAATGCAGTAGTCCAGTGGCCAGTCTGTTAGCACACTTCTGAGACATAGGAGGTGGATACTTTCTCTGAATTAGGAAATTTGGAAACAACATGAGGATCTTGTAAAATGTATTCATAACTTCCAGAGAGGTAGTGTGTTTTGGTTTGTTGGATTTTTTCTCCAATCATATGACAATGTGCGGTGTCTAGTTCCTGTGAGTGAATGCAGTAGTCCAGTGGCCAGTCTGTTAGCACACTTCTGAGACATAGGAGGTGGATACTTTCTCTGAATTAGGAAATTTGGAAACAACATGAGGATCTTGTAAAATGTATTCATAACTTCCAGAGAGGTAGTGTGTTTTGGTTTGTTGGATTTTTTCTCCAATCATATGACAATGTGCTGCTGCTCTGTAGTGCTCTGCTTTTCCCATGGATGTCTGCTCTGTTCTTGCCCAAATTAGGTGGTGGTGTCTAGTTCCTGTGAGTGAATGCAGTAGTCCAGTGGCCAGTCTGTTAGCACACTTCTGAGACATAGGAGGTGGATACTTTCTCTGAATTAGGAAATTTGGAAACAACATGAGGATCTTGTAAAATGTATTCATAACTTCCAGAGAGGTAGTGTGTTTTGGTTTGTTGGATTTTTTCTCCAATCATATGACAATGTGCTGCTGCTCTGTAGTGCTCTGCTTTTCCCATGGGATTGATGTCTGCTAAGTCTGAAATAGTTCACAGAGCTGGTATCTGGAAATTGACATTCTCTAGCAACTTTGAACCCAAAGCAAAAGAGGCAGGGCAAGAGGATTTCGGTGACTGACATCTTACAGTCTTTTGAGGTTAATTAAACAAGTGGCAGGAGCTACACACCTTGTGAGGGGGAAAAAAATCATACAAAGATTACAGCCTCTTGCTCAAAATAATTAATTATGGAGATTTTTACTAAAAATTCTCCACAAAAACCTTGTGTAAGTATTCGAAAATCCAAGACCTTAGTCTGTTCCAGTTTACACTAGTCAAATAATTCTGTAGATGAATCATCACCTTGCACACAAATATTAACTAAAAGTAGTTTTAGGTTTCAAAAAAAAGAAAGATCTGTGGAGTTTGAAAATTATTACCGGCTCCAGGACCTTTGCTTGTATAGGTGTCTGTGTGGGGATTACAATCCTCCACCTGATGCTCTAGTTCTGCATTTTCTTTCTGTAATTGATCGTTAGTTATTCTGGAATAGAAAACAGTTTTAGAATGATTTTTTAAAATTAGTAAAATATTTTAGAACATAAGTAAAAACTGCAATATCGTTTTTATTTCACATATATTGGCATGTATTTCATGTACTGACTGAGGTATTTAGTTATTTAGAAGTATGCCACCTTAACAGCTGAAGCTCTTCCGTGAGGTTTTGCACCATCCTTGCACCTTCAGGAGGCTGTTTGAGAAGCTCCATCTTCAAAAAAAAAAAAATTAAGAAAGTTTTACTCCTGAATACAGCATCCATGCACAATGCAGTTCAGACCGACCTCTTGAACACACCATTAAAAAAAAAAACGAATGAAGAAAACCAACACAACAAAACAAGCCCTACCCCTGTTATAAACTGCGGCCCAAGAAACTGGCAGGAGCCAGTTCAATTAGGAAAT